AATCATCTGCCTCAGAGAGAGGCCCCAAGGGGACCCATGGGGCAACAAAGGAGCAGAGAGGCTGGGAATACTCAAGGCATTTTAGAGATAGGGCAACCCTTAGACCCTTTCCCCTGGAGTTCCTCTGCAGCTGCTCCTTATTCCAACTGACTGGACGTGGGCCATGGAGAAGATTGTTTTAGTTACTGCTCAAAACATACACTTAGCCCCAGGTTCAGCAATCCCAGGTTCGGATCCTCAACTCTGACTCCTCCCAATCCATCATCACCCCTACATCCAATCTGACCAGGTCCTGTTGATTTCTCCTTTGCAATATCTTCCCATCTCTTCTTTGCTTTCCATTCTCCCTTTCCATCTACTACAGTAGGCAGGCCATCACCACTTTACACTGGGATTACCCAAAAGCCCAACAGTCCCTTTGTTCCCAGTAGGATGGATTTGTTCCAATCCATCCTATATTTGCTGCAAGAAGAGTGGTTTTTCAGTTAACAACCATTTCGTTGTCATTTTCCCAATCAAAAACTTTTAATGGCTCCCCATCGGTTAGCACATCTGGTACAGATATTTCTCTACCTTATTCTCTAGGCCACGATTTATTTAGCCAGGGAGCCTCACACTCTCATGTGGATCATTCACTTGCTCCAGTATTGATCCTTGAATATGCCATGCTCATTCCCACCTCTGTATTGGTCACTTTGCTTTCCCTGTCCAAAATGCCTTCTTTGTTCCTCTCCAATTACCCATCTTTCAAGAACCAGTTCAGGAGGCAATGTGGAAAGAGTACTGGATCCCATCACTCTCCCTCCCAACCACTCTGGACAACTTACTTTACCTCTCCCATAATTGGACTAGATCTTCTCCAAAGGCTCCTCCAGCTCTAATGTCCTGATTCTAAATCTGGCCTCCTCCATGACTCTGTCCTCCTCCCCTCTCTACTGATCTCTCTCTCTCCCCTAAACATCTATCTCATGACTTATCTCACCATCAACAGTTTAAACTCTTTGAGGTCAAGGATCCTTTTTATCTTATACTCCCACCTCATCTGGGCTGCTGGCTGACTAATAACAGTAACAACAGTAATAATAGCTAGCATTTATATAATACTTTAAGATTTGCGAATTGTTTCACAGATGTTAATTCATTTGACCCTCACAACAACCCTATGAGATAGGTTCTATTATTATCCCCATTTTACAGATGAGGAAACTGAGGCACTGACTTGCCCAAAGACACAGAGTCAGGATTTGAACTCAAATCTTCCCATGCTTTGTCCAGTATACCACCCAGCTGCTCTGATTAGTCCTATACTCATTTATAACCAATCCCATCTATTAATGCTTTTTGAGGGAGCCGGCATGAGGAACATACTCCAGGTAAGGTAAGACAGAATAAAACACAGTCTTTGTTTTTCTTGGAGCTCACCCCCTGAAGCACTAGGTCCTCCCTTAATAACAATGATCCCTCACATCTGAATGCCACGTCTGATCCTCATTCGAGTCCTGTGAGATAGGAAGAGCAGGTGTCATTATGCCCATTTGACAGAAAAACTAAAGCACAGTGACTACCTCAAGTTATAATGAGTTGGTAAAATTGAAACCCAAGCCCCTAGAAGATCAAGTTTTTGTCTTTAGTGTTGCTCTTTTTTTTAAACAGCAATCAATGATTTTGTTTTTGTTTTTTGGTAGGAAGAGGGGGAAAACTGACCTTCTCTGTCCCAGAGACCAAAGGACAGTTTTCTCATCACAGGTAGGAAGAGTTTGGACCACCAAGGGGAAAAACACCTTAGAGGGACGACAGTGAGGCACCACAGGCAGAGATAATGGAGAAATAGGAATGCAATTGTGGATTCTCTTTGGTGAAGGTGGAGAACAGTCCCCACCTCTCTCCATCCCTTCTCCTTTTCTTCTCCTCCCACTCACAGGCTTCAGAGTGGGAACAGGAACTCCAAGAAAACACTGGTGCTTTGGGAAGTGTTAGGATTACCAGGGTGACAACGGAAGTGGCAGATGGTACTGGGGATAAAGCAGAGATGATGCTGGGGGTGGGGCTGGGGGGAAGGCTGGCTAGGAGAGATGCCAGGCAAGAGGCAGTCATGCCAAAAAGCAGAATTGTTTCCAATCTCTGAGCTTTCCTACTTGTTCAACTCAGTTTTCTTTCTTGTCCAGCTCATAATCACAGGCAGGTTCTGCGAGACAGGTCAAAACCTAACAGGTTCTGATAGGCCTATATCATAAAATACAAGCTGGTGCGACATGTCACAAAAAGTCACACTGTGTGAACAGCACAGTACTAGATACCAAAAAGAGGGGCCCCAAAGACCTCATTTTTGACCTGGGAGAACTAAAAGAGATGAGGCTGGACTGAGGGGCCTCACTAAGCAGAAGCAACTCTACCTCTTCCACTTCTCAGAACAAGAAACACCAGATTCTGATGTTCTAAGGAGCCATCAACCCAAATCCATCACTAAGGTAAAGAACTGCCCACTAAGGCCCTAAATTGCCACATCTTTCATAACAAACACCTCCCAGCCCCAAGGGCAGCATCCAGTCCAGCCTGCCAAGCAGGGTTTCCCACCCATCTGTAAGGTTAATCACAAAGCTGATGTAGAAGGCAGGTCCTAAGGCCACCAGGCTGCCATGTGGAAGAAATGGCCATAAACAACATGGGATTGGGGATGCTTATAAATGCAGCTCGAAGTATTTAAAAAACAGTAATTTGGCTTCCATCAAAGTTCTGTTCCAATGCCTCATTATAGTATGGAGGCTACTCAAGCTCTGAAAGGTCCTAGCAAGCTGCAAAAGCTCTGAATACTGGCCCAGCAATGGCCTAACACAGAAAGACAAGCGTAGCTAAGCTCAGAGAGGCTCACCATCAGGTCAGCTGCAAAGTGGTGCACTTTGGGGCCACAGCAGCCCTCTACTAAGTCATAGAGGGGCTATCATTTACACTCACAAAATCATATAACCTGGAAGCACTGAAGTAATTAACCTATCACAACCAGCCCTTTTAAGTGGACCAGGGAAGATAAGGTGCAGCCAGAGGAGGATGAAGTGGCTTTTCCAAGATATGTCAGATGAGGCTGGGGTAAGATCCCCGATTCTAGGGCCTAGTTCTGTCCATTACTGTCCAATGGCCCAAGACAGGCTTCCCACAAGGCTCATTTTAAAAGAGGCCCATTTCATAAGGCAGGGTAATAGAACACAGGTAACTCAGATTTGGGTCATAGCTCTTTGTTATATGACTTTGAACGGGCCACTCCCCTTCTCTAGACCTTAGTCCTCCCAAGTACAAATGGTACCATCATGATATGAACTGGGCAATCAGGAGGGCCACATCCTAGTCTGGGGCCCTTCACTTACTAGCTGTGTGATATTGGCCAAGTCATTTCACTCATTCAGGTCTCAGTTTCTTCTGCTAGACTAAACTGCGTCAAAGGTACTATCCAGTTCTAAAATTCAATGATTCTAAACTCTAAAAAAGTACTTTGAGATCACTTTGCCAAACCACAACCTGGTAAGTGACATCTCATTAGTTTTATTGTGAGGTTGCTAATGACATCACTTACCAGGATAGGACGGGGAGTCTCTGAACATAAGAGCCTGGAGGATGGGGGTAGAAAATAGGGGATGAGCACAACCTAATAGAAAATAGTGATTTTTTTTTTGGTCTTTCACATACAAAGGACCAATCTTTATATCCATCATTAACCACATTTATAATGCTCTTATAAACCCAACCTAGTAACCACTGGATACACTTCCAGAGATGGGCCTAGTGGGAACGCTGGTCATAGTACAACTTCAGTTATCACTTTTTAGGCAGACCAGTCACATACAAAAACACACATTAGCTCTCATACTACAAAAAAAGCAGTGAATCTACCATACACAGCTCTGGGTTACCACTTAGTCTTATGGTCTGTTCTGTTGATCAAATCTAAACCAGTGCCGGCCCATTAAGACCAGAGGTCTACATTCTACATGATTCTACAAAGTCTCCAGTGAATTCAGGAATCTTCTGAGTCAGCCCCACCTAGGCTTTCATTGTCACGGACACACTAGGTGTCATACCTAGACACACTTCATAGACAACAAGGGGAAATTCCTAACAAGGCACTGGCATAAATCCAAGTCTGAGTGAATTATAAACAACCTTTACAAGGTTACCTGCTGAGACGGACCAATAGACAGACTCTACCAGTTCACAACTGGGAGGGGCACCCTGTAACCTTTGTGGACCAAACCTTCATTCATTTTGAATTTGGAATCAACCCGACCAGGGAGAAACTGACACAGACCTAGAAACCAGAGGCCTCCCAAGTCATTCACGCCATATCTATCCACACCCATCTGTGGATCTCACAGATAAGACTCCGTCCTTTATCTCTTCCCAGGGACAGTCAGGGCCAGATCCACCGGAGCTCTTATTACCCGGGTGTTTGCAGCTGCTATAAGTTAATTTGGTTTTGGGGAGGTATTTTTGGAGGGGTGGCTCAGTTCAAACCATAGAGGCCTTTTGCTTCCCACACACAGTGCCACAAACACCGGCCGAGGAAAACGTCCCAGTGGAAGAGGGGCAACTAAGGGGCTCTGGGGTCCCCGGGCCCCGCGGGATGCCAGAAGTCTCTGCCAGTCACCGATTCCAAGGGGCAGGGTGGTCTTTCCGCCCATTGTAACCCTTTCCATCAGAGCCCCCTCCCACGGACCCCGACGCCACGCGGAGTGTCCGGGTGTGTCAGCGTGCGGCGCCCCCGGGGCTCGCCCCACCCCGCGGATCAGGCTCGTGCGCCCGGGACGTGGGCTCCGCAGCTGCCCCGCAGCGGGGAGCCGGCGTCAGCCAGAGCAGGCTCGGGAGCCAGGAGGGGTGCCGGGCGCGGTACCGCCCGCGCAGAGCCCCGCGCCCCGGCGTGGACTGGCCCCGCGGCACTCCTTGCCCCCCTCCCTCCACTCAAACTTTGCCGACCCCCGCGCAGCATCGCACGCCGCCCGCCAGCCCCTCACCGAGCGGCGCTCCAGGTCCGGAGCCGCCATGGACGGACTCGAGGGAGGCCGGGACACGGGAACCGTGGGGTCGAAGCCGGCTCCGAGGCTCGCTCTCCACTCGGGTCGCTGCGGCTGAATGGATCCAATATGGCCACTTCCTGGAAACTCCCCTTGGAGAGGAGAAGAGGCTGCGGGGCCGCCTCCCGCCACCGCTGCCCGCCCCGGCCCCGGGAAGCCCGTCTCCGCTGCGGCTCCGGCCTCGCCTTCCAGCACAGCCGAAGCCCCGGGCTCTGCTCAGCCGGGAGCCCACCCTGACTCCAGCACCTCGGCTGCTGCACGGAATGCCGGGACTTGTAGTTCCCGAAATTTGGGGAGGGAAGGAGAGGGGCAGGGCTTGGGAAGAGGCGGGCGGGAAAACCTGTCATCTCCCTTCAGGAATTGGGCTTTCTGGAGCAAATGTGCCAGGACGGGGTTGCAGGTTGGCCGCGTGTTTTAGGATTGAGAGCAGGCGGTGAGTGTTTAGATCGTCTAGTGGAAGCCCCCTCCTTTTACAGATGAAGAAACTGAGGCCCAGAGAGAAGTGACTTGCCCAAGGCCACACAAAATAATCAATACTAGAGCCAAGATTCAAAAACCCTGGTGTACATGCCAAACCTGTACACTATTACTGCCTCTCACTTTACATTAGTGTCTTTCTACTTGGAGCCTGAGGGCCGATTTGAGTTGCTACATACGTTTCCCTCTGCCTAGTCACAATAATTACAGAATTTCAGAATTGGAAGGTACCAAAGATACTATCTAGTCCGACTTGTACCTATACAGGACTTTCCAACATGCCATTCCCAACAAGTAGGAATGAAGACCTTGGGAGAGTATCTCAGACTCAAATGCTCTGTCTCATTTCTCTTGCACTTCCTGGGGCTTTGTCCAAAGTGCAGCAACTCCATGTTTCCATAGAAGACTGAAACTTCCCAGTGGAGCTGAAGAATCTTCAAATAACTTGGCCCACATACACAGGTCAAATTTAGGTATGGCCTACAAGGGTATCTAAAAACCCAAGTAAGCCAAAAGCCACTGTAAAACAAACCACTGCAGAGCCCTAGAGATTCAGGCTAAGTTTCCATTTAAGGTCCACTATTTGATTATCCATCCCCTGCTTACTACCTACCTCTGACACCACACCTGAACTGCAACACTCATACAACCATAAGTAAGGCAACCACGATGGTGGGGAGACTTGAAACCAGGGGGTCTCTAGCCTTGATGTGGGAAGTCAAGATAATCAATAAACTTTTATTAAGTGCCTACTCTGTGCCAGGAACTGTGCTAAGCACTAGGGATGCAAAAGGATACTCATGCTCTCAAGGACCTTACTGTCTAATGAGGTAGACAGCATGTACAAAGGAGATATATGCAGATAAATTGGAAAGAATCAACAGAAGGAATTAAGGGGATCGGGAAAAACTTCCTTTAAAAGGTGTCGTTTTATCTGGGGCTTGAAGGAAGCTCAGGGAAGCCAGGAGGCAGAGATGGGGAGGGACAGTATTCCATGCATGGGGACAGCCAGAGAAAATGCCCAGAGTCAGGAGGTGAAGCAGCTTTTATTCAAGGAATAGTAAGGAGGAAGAAGTGAGGTGGTGCAGTGGATGGAGCACTGGCCCTGAAGTCAGGAGGACCTGAGTTCAAATCCAGCCTCAGACCAAACATTTGACACTAGGTGTGTGACCCTAGGCAAGTCACTTAACCCTAATTGCCTAAAAATAATAATAAAAAAAATTTTTTAAAAAGGAATAGCAAGGAAGCCAGTGTTACTAACTCTCAGCAAATGGTAGAGAGGGGGTTGTAAGTTATAAGAAAGCCGGAAAGGTGGGGGGGCATGGGAGGTAATGAAGGACATTAATTGCCATACAGAGAATTTTAGATTTTATTTTTGATCCTGGAGGTGATAGGGTGCCAAAGGAGACAATCTCTAACCTTCAGTTAGCTGAAGAGCTGCATTGTTCTGCTTTGAAGAATGAGGATAAAGGAATAGAAGATACAGGGACGCAAATTTTGACTCTTTTTAAGGAAAAACTACCTAGTAGAGATATCTGAAAGTAGAATAGGCCACCTCTAAAGATTGAGTTCCTATCAACAAAAGTCTTTTTGGTAGAGGTTAGACTAGCTGCCTGAGGTCTCTTTCACCTCAAAGATGTTATAATTCTGTGATATTTGTTGTTGTTTGTCCTAAGTTTTTGAAAGGGGCCAGTGACATCACCGGTGATGTCTTAACTTATAGTGAGTTGGATTTAAGTGGGGCAGAGTTGCTCAAAGTCATCAGCCTCTCTCTTCCAGAGTTATCAAAGTCCAGTGGCTGGACAAAAGTCAAGACAAGATGCAGTGGATGACCTTAGTGTCAGTGATGCCTGACCAAGCTCTTAAGGGCTCCACAGAACCTGCTTCTGCCGCCTTCATGGCCATTGAAACAAATTGTTCTTATCTACCCATTGCACCGGGGAAAGTCTTTACATGCGTGGGGCAGACGCACTGACAGATCTGAGGCCTGTTGGTTACCCTCACCCTGGTTTAGCTGAGAGTTTTACTGGGGTATGGCTGCTGTTCACGCCACAGGTGTGAGAGCTGGCTGAATCAGGTGGAAACCAAAGGTGGATAAGCAGCCCTGAAAAGGGCTCAGCAAACCCTCACACCAGAGGTGCCAGTCCTCGTGACACCTCATACACCTCCTGTGATATTTAATTGAATTTTAAATTCCACTAATTAGTTATTCAAATACATTTAAAGGATTCTAAGAAGCATGCAAAAGGAAACAAAGATTATAAATCATTGTCTTGTTATCTGTGTAACTTCTATTGCTTACTCAATCCCAAAAGATATGTATTTTATTGTGTGGGTTTTTTTAGGCAACTGGGGTTAAGTGACTTGCCCAGGGTCACACAGCTAGTAAGTGTCAAGTGTTTGGTCTGAGGCCAGATTTGAACTCAGATCCTCCTGACTTCAGGGCCAGTGCTCTATCCACTGCGCCACCTAGCTACCCCATGTGTATCGTATTGTTAACAAAGTAGTCTATATCCTCATTTTTCTAATCCTTCTTTGATCTTTAGTGTATATATAACATAGATTTGCTGCCATTATTTTGGTCCTTAATTGTGGTCAATGTGTGTGTGTGTGTGTGTGTGTGTGTGTGTGTTTTGTTTCTACTTTCTTCACTCTTAATGACCTACTCCTCTACCCCACCTTGGCCACACAGAAAGATGGTCATGTCCTTGATCTTTCCATTACCCACAAATGTAACACTTCCAAGTTTATGAACTCTGAAATTCCCTTATCTGATCACCTGATGACAGGTGTCATCCCACCTGTCCCTCTGGCTTGTACTCCCACTTCCTGTTTTTCGTCCACATCGTGACCTCTAATCCCAAACCTTCAGGGCTATCCAGCCCTGTACTACCTACACTCTCTTCCCTTCCCAATACTGATTCCTTGGTGAACCAGTTCAACACTCCACTCTCGTCTGCACAAGTCTATTGCCCCCTTATCCTGTCACCCATCTTGAGCCTCAGCCTGGATCATTCCCACCATCTACTACTTTCACTCTTACAAATGCGCTTCTGAAAGAAGCTGGAGAAAATCACAAAACCAGGTTTATGGGGTCTACTACAAATTTATTTTATATAAGCTAAAGTGGGCCTTCACTGCTGCAAAGCAATACTTTAGCACCTCCCTAATTAAATCACTATCCCACTAACCACAATGGCTCTTTCCAACTTTTTCATCCTTCTCAACTTCCCATGGCTCCTTCTCCACCTGCCCTCTTAACTGAAAACTTTGCTTTATATTTTAATGGGAAACTGAGACCATTTGCTTAGAGCTCCCTGTTCTCTCCTCATCTCACATTACCCAAATGCCTTCTGCCGCTATCTCCTCCTTCATCCATGCCTCACATAAGGCAGCCCTTTTCTTTGCAAGGCAAACAAATGCTGATGTATGTACAAGTTTTGCCATGCCATCCGGCCTTCTCTAGTCCCCTCTATCATCCCCACTGTCACTTATCTTCAGTCTCTCCCTAAGATGCTTGTATCCTCCTTTCTCAAAAAACCCTTCCCTTGATCTATCCATCCCCACTAGCTATCTGTCATCCTATTATTTCTCCTCCCTTTTTCAGCAAAACTATTTGAGGCCATCTACAATAAGTGCTGTCATGTCCTTTCCTCTAACTCTCCTAACTCTTTAGTTTGACTTCTGACATCATCATTCAACTGAAACTGCTCTCTCTAAACTTACTAATATTGCTTCATTCCAAATCTAATAGGCCTTTCTCAGTCCTCATCCTTCTCAGCAGCCATTGACACTGTTGGTCACCCTCTTCTCTCTGATACCTTATTCTCTCTAGGTTTTCAGGACATCCTCTCCTTGTTCTCCTCCTACTATCTGTTCCTTCTCAGTCTCCTTTGTAATTTTCATCCATGTCATGCCAGCTAACCATGGGTACCTCATAAGGCTCTGTCCTGGGTCCTCTTCTCTACCCTTTCCATATTATTTCACTTGGTAATCTCATCAGCTCCCATGGATTCATTATTTTTATGCTCATGATTCTCAAATATACTGATGACCTTGCACTGCTCTGCTTCACTTAAGTCCAATTCATTTGCAAGTCAAGACATCATTCTCTTGATGTCATTGATCCTCTTTAAGAATGAAAACATCAACAACAACAATCTCTACTGACCTCCAGTCTCATCTTTACCTGCTTATTGGACAACTTGAACTGAATACCCTATACGCCTTTTAACCTCAATTTGTCCAAAGCTGAATTCATTCTCTTTCCCCTTAAACTCTCCCTTCTTCCTAACTTCCTACTATTACTGTGGATCTTCCCAATCTTCCCAATCATCTAGGCTCACAGTCTAGGTGTCATCTTCAACTCCCCACTCTCTATTACGGAAGACATCTGTAAAGTGCCTGGCACATAGCAGACACTTAATAAATGGTGGTTCCTTCCCTACCTTCCCTCTCCCTTTTGATTTCACCTTTGTAACGTCTCTTCCATATGCCCTCTTTTATGATACTACCACTACCATGGTGCATGCCCTCATCACCTCACTCCTGGACTATTGCAACAAGCCTGCTGGTTGATTTCCTTTCCACCTGTCTCTCCCCACTCCAGTCTATCCTCCATTTAGCTTTCAAAGTGATCTTCCTAAAGTGCAGATCTGATAATGTCACTCCTCTATTCACCAAACTCCAATAGCTCCCTATCATCTCCAGGATCAAATCTACAATCCTGTTTGATATTCAAAGCCCTTCATAATGTACCCTTCCCCCTCATCTTTCCAGTCTTCTTACACATTA